TACAGAACCGCCATTACCCACTTTCTCTAATAACCCGGGCAACGCCGGGTCCCCAAGCTAGTGATAAATAAAATCCAGCAAAGTTTCAGGAAGATAAGTTCAACAATTTACATGGAAGAAGAGTCCTCAGAAACATGAGATTAGTGAAAAGAGAAAGAGTAATTGACTTTCTCTTTTTTCCCGTTAATAATTAATAGGAAAACATTACAAGTCATAAAGGTGTCCAGAGGCCAGATTTCCATAACATTTCATCTGGGAAATTATAACCCTTAAAGATCAATTGAACATAATGAAGCATGGTGGAGTTGGAAACATGAAAGATGTATGTATGTAGATTTAAGAAAAAAGCACAAAAAGATGGAATTAAAGAACTGGAATTTGAAAAATTCATGTAGAATGTAATACTATTGAATATTCAATAACATTGAATACAGCTTATTAGAAAAAATAATAGAAACAGGAGCAAAGATATATAAGTACTGTAAGGAGAAAAATCTGAATGCACTTTTAATTTGAAAGCATTGAAGGGTCTACAGAAGGTACAATAGGATTTCTCTCTCAACCACCCCCCTCTCGCACCATCTCTAAAGAAGGAATACGCACCAAATTTGAAATACAGGCAGTCCCTGACTTACAAACATTGGACTTACAAAGGACTGGTAGCTAAGATTGGGGGTGAGATAACAAAGTGAGAGAAATCTACCCTTCAGAGGGGAAATTCATTCCTGAAAGAGTTGTCACAGAGAAAAGGTTACTCCACTGAAGGTTTCTCACCAATCCTTGATTCCACAAGCCACATTTTTCAAAATCCAATTATCACAGGGATAGAAAGTGAGGTGAAATCTGAGCAATGGCACAGACAAGCAAAACAAACACCAGAGGGTGTTAACCCTTCCATGTGCTTTCCAAGGCTAATATATATGGTTGAAGTTACACTTTAATAATGTACCTGTTCCGATTTAAACAAATTCAACTTAATATCAAATCTACAGAACCTATCTTGTTTGTAACTTGGGGACTGCCTGTAAACTCTCAACATACATTTTATCTCTGTTGAAACTGGGGTGTGGTAGACAGACACGTGTTAAATATTTTAAGATTTCTGCAGTAATAATACTAGAGTAATAATAAAATCATTTTAAAGCATATTATGGATTAAGGGTTTGGAAAAGAAGGGCTGGTTGAGAGGCAGGGAGACCAAATGAGATGAATAGGGGTAAAAGAAAAACTTGGAAAGAAAAGATAGATTAAGGCAGTTAAACAACACAAAGCAATAAATAAATAGTTAAAACTTAAATTTTCCTGTATTTCTTTCTTTGACTGCAAACATTCACAAAGAAGAAAAGTCACAATTCTGTTTCCACAGCATAATGTTCGGAGCCCCCCTGCAAAAGTATGTGAACATGAGAGTCTCTCATCCCTATTTCTGCTCTCCCCACTTTCAAAAAGTCTGTTTTTCACAGAACATTTGCTATTTTGTGTACCAGTCCCTACTTATCTGCACCTGAAGATCTGGTGAAGGTTTGGCTAGGCTCTGTTCCAAGTCCTTTTTGCATTGGGAAACAGCTGGACCATTCCTGCTTATGTTTGGACTTTGGTTGAATTTGTCACACTTCCCTTCTGTCCAGGCTTCTTGTTCACTTTTGCATACAAGCCCTCCTGAGAAAGAAGATGTACAGATGCTTGGCTGGGGAAACCCACATTGTCATAGATAGTCTGTTCCTGTAAATCTGAAAGAGTCAGTGTGATGTAAGGATCCTCATCCCCATTGTCCATAGGCTGAAATAAAATGAAAAATACAAGCTTTTATCCATAGAAGGCCTCACTCATCGTGTCCGTGGCAGTGTTACATGGGGACAACATTCTTCCTCCAGTAGGTCCACATTATACTGCCTCACTCTGGGCTGGACATATGGGACAGTGGGCCTATGGCTAGACCAAATGTACTCAGGCAAGAGGCCACTACACACAATAATATAATCCAATAATATAAATTGAATAGAGAGCAGAGCACTCTTGTAGAAGAACTTATATGAGTATTCATGTTACTGTTTTTGATGCTTCTACTACAGTTAGTAATTTTTGTCTTGTACTATGTTTTCTAGCCACTCATATGTATTCCCTATAGGTCCACTTCTTCGTTGATACTTATATATTGATTCAGTTGAAGAACTCTCACAAACGACCACCTGAGGAAGACTCTACACAATTGAAACTGGCCATGGTTTATAAAGACTTACAAACCTTGATTTGCATCCTGTGATTTACATAGTCCTCCATATGGAACATGAACTTTATATGATACTAGCTTGGGGACCTGGCGCTGCCCGGGTTATTTGAGAAAGGAATTGTATATCAAGGTTGGTCTTTATCAGTTATTTATATGGCTTGCAGTGATCTCAGGAAGTTAGTGAAGGTACTGCGAGTCCCATCATCTGTGGTCCGTCCTCCTCCAAACTGCACCAGGATGGAGAGTGGGTCATGAGGGCTCTGTGTGCCAAGTTTGGTCTTGATTGGTCATTTGATGAGGGTTGCAGCATTCTTGGGAAGTGACTGGAGGTACTTGAAATCCCATAATCCATAGTCTGTTCTCCCTCAAACCACACCAAAATGTTGAGTTGGCCATGGGGGCTCTCTGTGCCAAGTTTGGTCTTTATTGGTATTTGAATGAGTGTCGCTATGGTTTTCTGTTGAGGCTGGCCAATCAGAAACCATATGCAATTTTTTTCCCCTCTCAGCCACTTGAGAATCTTGGAATGTTGTGGCTGGCCAATCAGAGACCATATGCAAATAGTACCACAGTGGCAGCCAATCAGAAAGCTACCACAAACACCTCCCACCGTACACATACATACATACATACATACATACATACATACATACACTGACTTTTATTATATATAGATAGATTGGATTCGCAAACCTTGATTATAAGAGAGATGCCTGCTATGAGTATGTTTGTAATGCATTTACCATATTCCTTTGTTTCCTGTTTCAGGAAACATACCATATTGTTACCATATTCCTGTTTCAGGAATCATTTGTCACATGCAAGGAAGATTTTGTGTTAAGAGACTTGTATTTTGAATCATTGTGTAGTATACTTTGAACTTCAACAAGCTTTGTTTGCACATTGAATGCTCTATGACTATAGCATACATATGAAAAACATTCTTAAGTTTTATATTACTGGATTATATTATTGTCTATAGTAGCCTCTTCTCAGTGTACTTCGGGGAATCCTTTCTCTGTATTGTATAGACCAAATGTACTGTCATTGACTTGAACTCAACAAAAATGTGTCAAAAAGGTGATGCATTAAATAAGTGGAATATTTTTAAAAGAGATACTACTGTAATTAATACTATTAACTGCCAATATTATAAAATATTTAAGAATAAAGGCTATCAGACACCCTAATGTTTCTTTAGTTATAAGTCAAGAAATGGAAATCAGGTTGCCTATTACTATCAGCAAAATGGTAAAAACTGTAAACTAAGTTGTTAGGATGCTGTATTAGGATTTGAGTGATCTAGGTTTTACTGGCTATATATTTGTTTTTCAGAACACAGTTCAAAGTGCTGCCCATGACCTTTACAAACCCATGTTGTTTAGATTCAGGCTGCCTGGAAGACCATATTTCCCTATGTAAACTTGCCAGAACCCTGAGATCTATAGGGGAAGGTTTTCTCCTGGTCCTACCACCATCAGAGGTTTACTTGATGAAGACACAAAAGAGGGCCTTCTCGGTGGCTGCTCCCTCCCTGCTTTTATTTTGCTGGCAGACAGATATATTTCTATCCAAGCAGTTTTTAATGGGTAAGCAGGAGAACATTTTATGGCCTACCTTATTTTTAAACTTGAGTCTGTTTTTAAAATGCTTTATACTGTTTTATGTGGTTTTAATGGAAATAAATAAACAAAGTAAACTCATAATAAATAAATTCGGTGATTTCAGGTTTCAGGGAAGATGGTTGAACTATTCCTGAGAGACTGGTCTCTTGTTGCTACGACAAGGGATTATATGTTGGCAATATTTAACAGATGACATTAACAAAGTACACTGATTAAACAATACATTTTCTTCCTACCTTTTCTTGAAAGTGGATCTCATCATAGGTGTGTTTTGGATGGACCTCAACAACCCTGTAGAGCCCTGTCCCTTCAACATCTGGAGGGTGATCTGGATTAGTGTCCTCAATGTGGGCATCCTCTGTATTGTCTCGAGATGCCTGGGCAAGAGGCAAGAAGTGAACTGAATTTAGAAAGCATATCAGAGCAATGAGCTAAAGCTTTGAAAAGAACCAGCAAGGTGAAACTAGATCCTAAGTGAGGGAACATCTGACCCATTGGCTGAAAAACAACTTTAATCTCAAATCATAGAGTATAAAATAAGATACGAGTTCTGAAATGCATTTTTAGGTTTGTTCCTATTTATACAACTTCATTGTGAAGTACAAAAATGGTTGATATACCTGGTACTCAACTAAAGTGTCACTGATCATCAGTTTTGTTAATGTGTCACTAAGAACAAAATCTTAAAAGCGTTACCGCCAATTTGGGTTAGAGTCTCAAGAGCATTCAAAGATACATCACTGTGGCGACCATTTGTAATATACATGCAGTAACAAGCATCCAACTTGCAAACAGTTTACAGTTAAGGAAGTGGGAGAGACAATAGGAAGTGAAAGAAATCTACCCATAGGAAGGGAAATTCACTTCGGAAAGAGTTATCATGGGGAAAAGGTGTTTCCACTGAATTTTTATCACAGGCATGGCCAAACTTTTTCACATTGGGGCCGCATTGCAGGCTGGACTGGGAGGGGCTGGGGGGGGGGAGGGGAGAATTATTATGTTTGACCCTACTTTAACTGCCACGGCTCAAGGCTATGGAATCCTAGGAGTTGTAGTTTTTCAAGGTCTTTCACCTTCTCTGCCAAAAGACCCTCCCACACAGCCCTATATCTCAGAATATCAAGGCAGAAAATCCCACAATATCTGCTTTGAACAGGGTTATCTGAGTCCACACACAGATAATATGGGATTTTCTGCCTTGATATTTTATTTATTTATTTTTATTTATTTATTTCATTTACTTATACCCCGCCCTTCTCACCCCGGGGGGGACTCAGGGCGGCTTACAGTGGGGGCACAATTAGATGCCCAAGGCAATTCACAAGTAATACAAATACAAACAATTCAACAATTAATTAAAAACATCAGTACATAATAAAATAATAGAACAGTCTCTTGCTCAGGGTTCAGAGTCCATATATCCATTCCATTCCAATTGTCCTTGTCTATCATCAGATCCTTCAGTTAGCTGTCAGAATTCTGGGATATAGGGCTGTGTGGAAGGGCCTAAAGAGTGCAGGTGCGGTTCCAACATGTGACTGGGAAGGCCCTTCTCTTAGCAGGAGATTGTGGCGGGCCACTGTGTTCTCCTGCCGAGAGAAGGGGATGAAATGCAGCTGTGTAGAGCTCTTCCGAGAGCTCTGGGCAGCCACTTGTGAGTGGGAAGGCCCTCCTCTTGTCAACATTGTAAGAATCCTGGACCGTTTTGAATTTTCAGCCAGAGAACTCTTGTGCTTCCCCAAAATACAGTGGGTGCTATCACTGCTGTGCTCTTTTGAGTGGAAAATTAATTCCAGATAGGCTGAACCAAATAATTCAGAGATCAAACAAAATATTCAAGTATAGCTGTATATTTCTTGTACAGTACATGCATCCTCTGAAGAGTTTTGAAACTTTTTGGAAACTGGTGTTAAAACTGTATGGTATGAAGGAATATAGTGATTTGTCTTACCATGAATGACATGTTGGTTTCTTTTTTCCTTAGCAAACATACTCCTGAAATGGGGGCAGCAGACAGAAATTAGTAGGGCATATTGTACACTGGCACAACAATTGATCTGAACACTAGATTAGTTTACTGGAGACCCAGGTTCAAATTACGACCCAGCCAAGGAAACCCTTTGAGTGACCTTGAGTAAGTGATACTCGATGAGCCTCAGAGAAAGCCAATGGCAAAATCCCCTCTGGATCCCCTGATACATTCACCTCAGGTGGCCATAAGGTGGAAATGACTTGAAGGCGCACAACAACAGTAACATGTTAAGCAGTTGAACAAACACACATGCACATGCCTGTGCTCAACTAAAACTCTAGTAGAATGAATTGCATCTACTAGAACAAAATCTGACACCTGACACAGTGCTAATACTAATGGCACCACAGGATATCCCCATGTTGCCAAATGTCACTCAGGTCCCTTCTACACTACCATATAAAATCCAGATTATCTGCTTTGAACTAGGTTATCTGGCAGTGTAGACTCATATAATCCAGTTCAAAACTGATAATGTGGATTATCTGATTTGATAATCTGGATTATATGGCACTGTAGAAGGGGCCTCGGGCTCCTTTTAAGATTCAGAGAAGTTGAGGGTGCATGAATATGGATCTTTTAATCAATAGCTATAGCCATATTTTACAGATTCTATTTGCTTTTGTTAATGTTATATGTCTGGCTTTATGTAAATGTGTCATTGAGTTTGTTGATGTATTGCATTTTATGTGTTGTATGGCATCATTGTGTACTGTTTTGTAAGTCACCCTGAGTCCCTATGGGAGATGGTTGCGGAGTATAAATAAAGTTTATTTTTTTATTATATACATTTAAGTTTTGCTTCTTACTTACCCTGTATCAATGTATATTTTTCCTCAAATGTCATACATTTGTAGATTATAGTATTTTATCATTTGTCAGGGATGATGCGGTTTTCACCATGACAAATATCAAGGGCAAAGGACCTTATTTCTCCTTTTTGTAAAAGCCTGTTTCACTGTCATCAGTCTGGAATAGAAGGTGTTTTTGAACATTTTTGTTATCCTGAGTTGATAGCTATTCATACAACTTTCACCAGCAAGAGATTGTTTTCATATCTGCAACACATTCTGTGTATATGGGCTGTAAAGAGGACAATAGAAACCCCAGAGCTGTTAGTTTCTGGCACTTTCTGGTGGTTTTGTATCTCGCAGGTTTGGGAGTACTCTAAACCCTCTAAACATTAAAAATAAAAAATGGATTAGAATTCACCTCTAGTTTCCACTTTATTGATGGTGTAGTACTCTTAGACATAGAGAACCCAGAGAGGCATCTGAAGGGTAAAAACTGCATGTTCTGAGGTTGCCCAAGCCAGTCTATTCAAAAGTAAGACCTATGGAGTTGACTTATGCCTAATTAGAGTGACTGCCGAATCTCAAGGCATTGGCTTAAGTCCCCAAATTTCATGGGTAAGCTACAGATAGGAAGTAAGAGTGCAAATTCTCCAGATTTGGATAGGTTAGTGTTAGGGGAAAAAAGGAGATGTGTGTAAATTTTAATCTCAGAGCAATCTACTCCATGGATCTCTTTATTCTTCTCGACCTCTATGACTGTGCTCTTGAGAAACTTGAGATATCCCAAGTTGTATTTACTTGAGGGGACATCTATGTTACTTAGTTAGCTAATCTTCCTCACTTCTTCTCAAAGTCTGGTATCATCCAGACCTGGCACCTAATAAGCTAGAATTAAAACCGGGAATAAATTATCCCCCCCCCCCATAGATTTTCTGCTCTGATTGGGCTTTGTAGAACATTGAAAGGTAGGTATAACATTTAAAGTTATAATCTCAACTTTCCTGAATATTATATCCCCCTGCTTTCACTGAGTAACCAGATTTATTTCACAACTGTACATCCTCAGATATGGAGTGCAGGTGCTTTATGAGAAGCTTCCAGATGGTGGCGCTTGGGGATAGCTACTCCTCAAAGAGGAGCTGTTATGTAGTATCCCGCAAGGCGCCATTCTATCCCCAACACTCTTTAATATTTACATGAAGCTGCTGGGAGAGATCATCCTTAAGCTTGTGGCGGGGTGCTATTAGTAGGCTGATGACACTCCATGCCTTCAAAAACAGCTTCAGCTAAGGATAGTGTGTCTCCTCTGAATGAATGCCTGGAGGAGGTAATGAGTTGGATGAGTTGAAACAAAATGAAACTGAATCCAGATAAAACAATGGTGCTGCCAAATATCAAAACACCAGGAAAGAATCTTCCAGTACATGTCTACAGCAGCAAGAACTGAATATGCGAAACTATGAAAGCAATAAAGAACATCAATACTAGATGAACGGATTACAACATCTTTTGAAATGGCTGTGTGATGGTGCGAGTGGCGCCACCTATGTATAGAACTGTTAGTTGTAAGATTTAAACTGTTGTAGCATGCTTAATCCTGCCCCTTTTTACCCTGCTTATGTATAGTTGTATGGATTGGTTGCTTGTAGTTGTCAATCAGTACTGTTTGGCTCCACCTCTTCCTGCAAGAGGGGAGAGCTTCCTTTTTCTTTTCATTCTGCCATCAGAGTTCCTGCCACATGGACGTGAGTAAGAAACTTGATTCTAAAGGACCCTGATTTAAGTTACCTCTTAGCACCAGTTCTGAGGTTTTTTACCCTTGGGACTCATGCTTTATGTCCAGATCGTCCTGGACAATTATTGAGGAGACCCAAGCGCCTTCAAGCCAGTTCTTCTGGCACCAAAGGAAGATCCTGAATCTTCAAAACATAGGCCATCTGAACTGTGGTTGTGGTTTGCTCCGGCATTCACAGCCATTGAGGAAAGAGGAATCTTGGTGAGGCTTCTCAGCTTCAAACCCCTTGGACCCAGGACTAATTGAGACTGTAACGTATGTTTTCCTTCACCCCTCTAAAGTTTTCCAGCTCATTGCTTTAAAGAAATGACTTTGTGATAAATAAAACTTATTTTGAGCTATTTACAGCGTTTTGGGTTTTTGGGAGTTCCAGTTTCCTATAGGAGGGCAAGAAGCAATCCCTTGGGGGAAAGGTGCCACGTCCATCCCTCCTTCATTAAGACTAATAGCCCCCAAGCATGACAGCACAGGCTGAAATGGATAAATTAACTTTAACTCTAAAACAAGATAATACACAAAAAGTGGAAGGATAGAAACCTTTTATGGGTTTTTATAAAAAATCAGAAGAAGATGACTACAATAGGATTTGTGAACTAAAAGTATTATGAAATAATAAAGGAGTGTAAATTATATAGCTTGTATATAAAAGAGCGAAATAAAGGTTTTTTAAGAAAATTGTTGAGTTAATACTTTAAATTAAAGAAGAAAAGCATACAACTTCAAGAAGCTTGATACTATAGATATATACACTTATATAAGAAGATTTATTATGTGTAAATCCTATGTGAATGATAGATAATTATAATAAATATTTACATATTTATTACTAATCTACTAACAAGTGAAATTAACTTTAAGATATGTATATAGTTGGCTGCCATTAAGAGTAGAAAAAACAGAGTTCAAATTAGTTAATTGATATAATAAGGAGAAGGAATACTACACAGAGTTGGAAGAGAAAAGAAGAAGGGACAATAAAAGAAGATGAAAGAAACTAACGCAGATTTGGAAGGACAATTTGGTAGTCTTGTCAGAAAAGATGTTAAAGTTGGATTTTTTTCTTTTACTGCACTTCCTCCTTTACTAAAGAACATGTATAATGATAATCCCCCCTCTACATCTCTGACAATACAACAGAATTATGTATAGAACTATTTAACTAACATGGCTCTGTAACTTGCATATTACATCCTTTTATGGTCCTTATCTTTTCCTCCCCCCTTTTGTTCTGTTTATTTGAGTTATTGTTATTATTATTTCTTTTGAAAACAAAATACTTATATAAAAAACCTAGAGGTGCTTCCTATAAAGGCACGTCGTGTGGCCAAACAATATAACTGGACAGGGGGGCAAACAGATCCCACCGCTGTCCCTCCAATTATAAAGGATTTACACCACTGGCACCTATATAACTGTTATGAGGGAATGTCTCTCTATTTAAACTTCCGCTGCCACCATAAGTATAAGTACAGGAACACTCTAGCTATTCAAAAATACTAAAATTACTTCTTGGACCACCAAGTACTGTGTCTTTTAAATGGCTTCTTTGAAGGAAAACAGGTGAGGTTGATTTAAAAGGAAAAGGGACTAAATCCACAAATGTACACTTGACTCAGGCTTAAGTTTAAAAAAAAACAAGGAAAGTTTATTTAATATAGTACAGAAGAAAGTGAATGCCAGTTTAATAAGCTTGGCTGTTACAGATAAAAGGTTTTGGTTCTTGAAAGCGTAACGGTTGCATGAGAATGGTTCTTTCTTTGTTACTACTATAAAACCCAGCTATTTCTTCCCTAAATAGCTGTACCCAGTTTGCCACAGCTTACTTCGCTGGCAAACTTCAGGCAAACTGCCTATTCTTAATACGAACTCCTAAAAACTTCTCTAATCCTGCTCTAAACTCTAACATCAACAGACTGACTAAAAAAACTTCTTTCTTTCCCTCCAAACAGTCTAACTCCGCCCCCTTTAATAAACCAATCCTGGCTGCTCTAAGGCTGGCTCAGGCCTAGGCCACTCCCCCTCTCTGAAATGGAGCTTTCCCTAAACTAAAATGGCTCCTGCTGCCCTCTGCCAGGCCTTCTAAGGCTGAAACTAACTAGCCTGCCTCTCTTAGGCCCTGCCACCCAGGCTGGCAAGGTAAGGGATCTTCACACTTCCCATCAAGTTGGTTCATAATATGGGCATGGAACTGTGTCAACCAGTTCTCGATGGGGCTACGCTCCCCTTGAAGACTGTGTCTTCAGCTTGGGAATGCTCTTGGATCCATGTCTCCAATTGTCAGCCCAGGTAGATGTGACAGTCAGGAGTGCTTACTTCCAGCTTTGGCTGATCTGCCAGCTGCACCCCTTCCTAAATTTGGAGGAAATGAACATGG